CATACCCATTCTCCACAAAAAATTGAAAAAATTAGCTAGGTGTGGTGGCACATGCCTATAGTCTCAGCTACTCAGAAGGCTGAGGCAGGAGGATTATTTGAGCCTGGGAGTGTGAAGTTGCAGTGAGCTGTGATGACGCCACTTGCACTCTAGCCAGGGCAAGAGTGAGACTCTGTGTCAAAAAAAAAGTCCACAGAAGGGAGAAGAAGAGAGTGTTCAAGAGGGGTAACAGGTGCCGATTATGAGCCCACGTACCTGAAACAGCCGTGGCAGCGCAAGATGTAGCTCCGGGCCTCGCGGATCAGCATGCCATTCACTGCCAGCACATGCAGCCCCATCTGCAGCAGAACATTCTACAACCAACAAGTTAAAGAACTGAACTAAGTCTTACTTCTGTAATCACAGTTAGGGGAACGTTGCAAACCTCACTGTGGCCCACAATCCTTGGCTTTTTTTGCTAAGGAAAGTCCATCTTGGGATGCCTCTCAAGATCTGTCAGTGATGACAAGGACCCAGGTTTCCTTTTTTTTGAGACACAGTCTCACTTTGTTGCCCAGGCTAGAGTGAGTGCTGTGGCATCAGCCTAGCTCACAGCAACCTCAAACTCCTGGGTTCAAGTGATCCTTCTGTCTCAGCCTTCCAAGTAGCTGGAACTACAGGCATGTGCCACCATGCCCGGCTAATTTTTTCTATATATTTTTAGTTGGCCAATTAATTTCTTTCTATTTTTAGTAGAGACAGGGTCTTGTACTTGCTCAGGCTGGTTTCAAACTCCTGACCTTGAGTGATCCACCCGCCTTGGCCTACCAGAGTGCTAGGATTACAGGCGTGAGCCACCGCGCCCGGCGCCAGGTTTCTTTCTAATACCCAGTCCTGGGGACTGTGCCCATCATTTCACAAGAGCTGTCATTAGCAATCTCTCTTGACAGAAACAACATTTGTTTTGTCAGGGGTGAATATATTCATTTCTGGGCTGGAAATCCTCTCTAACTTCTCCAACTACCTAATTGAGCATAGAATGTTATATACACTGAAAGAAAAGTACCAACAGATCATGAATAATAAACATTAAACACTTAATATACCATATAAATCTTGTTACCATATCATATGATTGTCTAGTCTCCAAGCAAAACTGAAAATTACCAAAGAGAATAGTTTCTAGAGCCAGGAAAGCAGCTCTGCACACACCCCAAACCTCAGTAGGACCGCACCGATGTCATGTGTGACATAAAGCCCATGACCAGTCCCTGCCTGCCCCACCCACCTGCATGGCGAAGTCTGTAGTCACACAGCCGACCCGCACGTCCTTCGGGACGTCGCACTGCTCTAGCTCCTGCTGGATCTGCTTGATGTTGCTGGGGGTTATCCACCCACCCTCATCGTCATCGCTGTCTTCGCCTTTTCTCTCTTCAAGCCCATTTTCTTCCTCCTCCTCCTCACTTGGAACATCCTCACCTCTGTCAATCTGAAACACCAACAGAATTCACAAGTTCCTAGCCCACCAGAGTGGCGGGGGAGAAGCTACAGTGCTGCCATAAGATCAGAAGTTAGCGCCTTACCAGCAGTTCCTGTAGTTCACGATCGATATTTGGCAGTGGGTTTCTCCAGAACGTGAAGGAATTGAATTCTAGGTCCTCAGGCTCACCGGCTGGGTGTGCTTTTTCTACTGTGTCTTTTGGGGATTTAGGCTGAAAATTAAAAAAATAAAATAAAAACCTGAAAAGTGAGAAGGTTACAAATGAAATCACATGTGACACAGAAGTCAGGTAAGATACGGCAGGACAAACTATGATATTCATCCAGGTAAATTTGGTTCACTGTAAACACACAACTTGGAGAGACGTGACATGTAGCAGAAAAGAACATCAAGAGCCCAGCTTGTCTAACGAATTACCTTGGAGGGCAGATGGAAACCAGAAATGTGCAGAGGAGTTTCTGGGTGCTGAATCGATGAGGTCACTTTAACCTTAAAAAAAAAAAGTGACAGTCCTGAGCAACAAAATATAGTTTGAAAATTAAGCATGGAAGAGTAATTTAAAAAATAAAAAACATTTAACCCTGATTACTGAAATCAAAGATATCCAATGTTCAGAAAAGTTGAAAAATATAAAAAAATACATATAAATTCAGTCATCCCAATGCCACTAAATAACCACTTCAGATATTTGGTTTTTGCCATTATCCATATAGCTGTCATGAACATTAATATCTGTAAAACCCAGAAGTATTTTTGGTTATATCTTTAGGATAAATATCTAAGAATGGAACTGCTGGGTCTAAGGATATGCTGTTTTAAAGCTTTTGATACAAATAACTATTGCCAAAAAGGCTGCAGAAAAGGGCAATTTTTAGAAGTCATGGGCTGATGGGTACAAATAGAAAACCAACTTCCAGGTACCCTAGGTTCAGGTAGGCACAGAGTCAAAGCTTATATAAAATTATTCCATCTACTATCTGATAACATGCAAAAGTCTGCATTTTAGAATTTTATACTTTTTGGATTAGAGGACTCTAAACCTGGTTGAAAAAAATGAGGACAGTTCTGAGTGGTACAAGAATGTGAGCTCACCAGTGCTGATGACAAACTATAGTGAAAGGAGATCAAGTCATTCTTTGTTAACATTATTTGAAATGAATTATTATTAAGTTAATTATTTGGCTTCCAAAATCCTGTGGACTAGAAACAGCTAACGGGACCCAGGCACAAATCCATCAGTCTCTTCAGCCTACCCAAGGTGGGTAAGTCCCTAGAGCACAATAGGAACCCAGAGTTTTAAAGATAGCAAGGATTGAAAAAAATTGTAAGCACTTAGTGTTCCTTCCTTTTTTACTTTCAGAAAGAATTCTATTATAAAAAAAGAATACAGGCTGGGTGTGGGCTCACGCCTGTAATTCCAACACTTTATAAGTCTGAGGCAGGAGGATTGCTTGAAGCCAGGAGGTGTTTGAGGTTGCAGAGAGCTATGATGATGCCACTGGACTCTAGCCAGGCAACAGAGTGAGACCCTGCCTCTAAATAAATATAGATTTTTACATTTTTCAAATTTGAGCAACTCTTCCCGAAAACCCACAGAAACACATTTGCTAATTATAATGGATGAACCTTATTCGCATTCTGACCCAAACAAACTTTTTTTTTTTTTTGAGAGTCTCATTCTGTTGCCTGGGCTAGAGTGCCGTGGCGTCAGCCTAGCTCACAGCAATCTCAAACTCCTGGGCTCAAGTGATCCTCCTGCTTCAGCCTCCAGAGTAGCTTGGGACTACAGGCATGTGCCACCATGCCTGGCTAATTTTTTCTATGTATTTTCCGTTGGCCAATTAATTTCTATTTTTTTTTTTTTTTTTAGCAGAGAAAGGGTCTCACTCTTGCTCAAGCTGGTTTTGAACTCCTGACCTTGAGTGATCCTCCTGCCTCGGCCTCCCTGAGTACTAGGGTTATAGGCATGAGCCACTGTGCCTGGCCCAAACAAATTCCTAATAAAATTTACAAAATAATTGGGAATTGTGAACACTGATTGGATATTTGATGGTATCAGAGATTACTGCTAATTTTTTGTAGGTATAATAATAATGCCTTTGAGGTTATTTTTTTAAAGAGTCCTTATGGGGCAGTGGGGCAGTATAGGAGAAAACAGACCGGCTGTGAGATGATAACAGTGGGAGGTGGAATGATGGGGATTACTGGGCTCATCACACTATTCTCCCTACTTTTATATAGCGGATAGTTTCCCTAAGGTTTTAAAAAACCAACCCGCTTAATTTACCTTTTCTGGTTCTTGTTTTAGGTGAGATACCCCAACAAACTCTGCTTCCAACTGGTAGGTGAGTGCCAGCACTTGGATATCTGTGGCAGAGAGACTGGGATAGTCTCCAGTTTTCTTTGAAAACTCAGTCACTGTAAACAAAAGATTTCCAGTCTCAGTTTGAGGCAAAAAGCCACATGACCTAGGATAAATCCAATGGAAGTTATCAAAGAATTTAGAAAGGATCAGCATCCCATGAAAAACCTTAACACTTTCATCCATTTTCTGATCTTTTTTCTACTCATAGTTGAGAAATTTATGCTCCACCACAATGATTCATGTCAGTAGGAGCAGAAGAAGCAGAACAAAGTTAACAGAAAGTCATTGAAAGGTAGCACAATGATGAGCGTTCCTTATTTAAGCTTTGGTATTACATTAGAAGCTCTAGTTTCTTCCAGCTCTAAAATTCTTTGATTTTAAGTATAACAATGTAGATTAACAGGATAGATAATCACATTCCAAAATGGAATAGAAAGTTAATTCAACAGGTTGAATATGCCATTTCCAAAATGCTTGGGACCAGAAATATTTCAGATTTCAGGTATTTTTAGATTTCAGACTATTTGCATATGTATAATGAGGTGTCTTGGGGATGGGATCCAGGTCTAGACACAAAAGTCATTTATGCTTTATATACGCTTTATATATAGATATAGCCTGAAGGTAATTTTACATGCTTTTAAAAAAGAGACTAGGTCTTGCTACGTTGCCCAGGCTGGTCTTGAACTCCTGGGCTCAGGAGATCCTCCTGCCTCAGCCTCCCAAGTAGGTGGGACTACAGGCACGCACCACTGTGCCTGGCTGAGGAGTTGTACTGAGGTAATTTTATACAATAATTTCAATAATTTTCATGCACAAAATTGAGTTGTAGAAACTTACGGTGTCATGTTTGCACTTAAAAAGTTTCGGATTTTGGAGCATTTTGGATTCAGAATTTTTAGATCAGGGATGCTGAGCCTATAATTATAGTCTATGAAGAAATAAAAATATTGAGATGTTTGTAACAAATAATGAACAATTAAAAAAAATACATCAGCCTCATGTGGTGGCTCTTGCCTATAATCCTAGCACTTTGGGAGGCTGAATCAGGAGGACTGCATGAGGCCAGGAGTTCAAGACCAGCCTGTTCAACATAGTGAGAGCCTGTCTCTACAAAAAATAGAAAAATTAGCCTGTGTGGTGTTGCATACCTGTAGTCCCAGCTGCTTGAGAAGCTGAGATGGGAGGATTGCTTGAGCCCAGGTGTTTTGGGTTGCAGTGAAGTATGACAACACTGCCCTCTAGCCTGGGCAACAGAGCAAGACCTTGTCTCAAAACCAACAAAAAAATCAACAAAAAATCTCACTATGCTTAATATATAGTAAATGCCAGCTGTCATTATTATTATTCTCCTGAGACATGGACAATAAACACTTGAAGTTTCCTGACATTAACAGAAAGATGTTTTCTACTACATTGGCACAAGGATTAATAAAGACACTACTCACATTTCCTAAAAAACAGACATGAGTTAGCAGCAGCCACAATTTACTGTGGACTTACACTGTGTATGAGGCACTGTTTTAAAAGCTTTACACATTAATTTTTTTCACCCTCTGCCAAGTCCTATGAAATAGTATTAGTATTTCCTTAGAAACATTTAGTAACTTGGCAAAGATCACACAGCCATTAAATTGGTGAGGAAAGCTATATAAGTCACAGAGTAGGTAACATCTATCAGCCTCTAACCTCTAAAACACTTCAAATCACTGAGGGCCTTTCCTGGGTATCATCACCTTGACCCTAACAAGAGAACAACCCTGACTCCTGACTCCTAAGTCAAGAAATAATTACTTAGTTTTCTTCCAGGTTGAATGCAAAACCTAAAAAGCATCCCTTTTTTAAGTTGAGGCTGACCTCTGTATCCAAAACAGTCATCACCTTAATCTACTAAAAAGAAATAGATGAAAGTATTAAGAGATCTGGGTTCCTCTATTTTAAATTACTACAAATTTACTGTGTGCTTACAAAGCGCTAAACAACGCTGAGTGACATACTCCTTAACCGATGCTCACAGCAAGCCCAGAGATAGATATTATCATGATTCCCATTTTGCAGTGATAGACCCGAGAGCATTTAGCTAGTTACTGGCAAGGCCTGGCTGCCTCCAGAACCAGGAGGCCTATCTCCCACCACGATCTCCTAGAAAGTGCCGTCTCTAAATCTCTGCTCTGTTAAGGCAGCCAGACCCGAGCGAGTCCGTCCCATCTGCACCCCGGGCCCCAGCTTCCCGTCAACGCCGGAACACAGGCACTCACCCAGCCGCACGTATTCGGGGAAGGGCTGCTTGAACCTCAGCTCGTAGGGCAGGACCGCGAGCCGCCTGCGCGTGGCTTTATCCCGAATCTCGCTGACCACCTCCCGGATAGTGTAGATGTTCTTGCCGATGTCCTGCAAAGAGATCGGCCCAGCTCACACCCTCCCGATTCCACGCCAACCCAGACCAGGTTCCTCTGGGCTACATTTCCCAGTACCTGCAAAGCCGCGTCCCGCAAGAAAGCCCCAGCGTCCGCCACAACGTGCTCCACAGGCGCCATCTTGCCTGGACGAGTAGGCAGGGCGCATGCGCACCGAACTTGCGCCCGCCCCTCCCTCCCAATCCAGGCCTCTGGGAACCAGGAAGGAGAGCCGCGACTTAGCGGCGCCTCCTGGCGGCCGCGCCAGCTCTCCCAGCTCAGGGCTGCTCGCGCGCATGCGCAGCGACGCCTCCACCCCGGCCAGGGAGGTGTAGGCGGGGTCAAACCTTGGGGTACACCTGAGGAACTTGAGCCTCCTCTCCTTAGCGCCCTTTTTACTTTTAAATGTACAACCCGAACATATTTGCATGGTTAGAAGTTAGTCAATGCAGATAACCTAATTTAATTATCACAACAACCCTGTGAGATAGGTACTATTTTATAGACAAGGGATAAAGTTACATAGGCCCGGCTAACATTGTGGGTAGGTTTTGTTAACAAGGTAACACCCCAAGAAACTGACTGAGAGCCCCTTTTTTATCGATTATATGATACCGACTGCTGCTTATGTACATCCACTTAATTTTTTTATTTTTTAAATCACGCCTAGAAAGATAACTTCCACTTCATTTTGAGCAACTTGGGGCCAGGGTTTATGTCCTGGGTTTGTTTTGTTTTGTTTTGTTTTGTTTTTTAAGAGACAGTTCTTGCTCTGTCGCCCAGACTGGAGTGCAGTGGCACCATCATAGCTCACTGCACCCTTGAACACCTGGGCTGAAGTGATCCTCCTGCTTCAGCCTCCCAAGATGGGACTATAGGCAGGGATAATTTTTTTTTTAATTTTTTCTTTTTTAATTAATTTAATTCTTTTTTCTTTTTTTTGGAGACCATTACTTCAAGTCATATGGGATGGATACTTTTTTTTTATTTCATTTTTTGTAGAGGCAGGGTCTCACTATGTTTCCCAGGCTGGTCTCAAACTACTGACCTCAAGTGATGCTCCTGCCTCAGCCTCCCAAAGTACTAGGTTTACAGGCTTATTTATCTTAATATTTTCACTTCACCTCCCACAAGGCACATAATTTCTTGCTGAATCCAGGGGAAGGGGTATTAAATGACTTCTAAATTTTCTTTCAAATCTGAGATTCCATAATTATGAGATCCGGCCTATTACATGCTAGTGAATTTTGGCTGAATGTTGACTTGAATCTTCAATCATGCATCTTTATCCAAATTTTATCAGGTCTTCGCTCCAATTTATGCCTCAATTGTAATTTATCTATACACCCTCAAAAGTCCTTCAGTGCACTGAGGGTCCCCTTCAGCCATTACCCAAATTCCTTTTCCTTCCCCAAATATCTTCTGTCACACCTTTGTCACTCCTCAGTGTCTTCAACCTCTACATCCTGCCTGTGCTACCTGCCCTAACAGAGCATGGTTGGAGGCTATTTCTCAGTTTCTAGTTTATTACATCAATTTTTTGGTTCTTATTTCTGAGCTTTCTCGGTTTCTCTGCAGGATTTGATATCACTGACCATCTCCTCTTTCTGGACTGCCTCTCCTTGCCTGACTTCCGTGGTTTTTCACCATCCTGGTATCCCTGTCTCTCTGATGGCTTCTCACGCTCTCTTCCTCTTGCATTGCAAACACATGCTTCCACTAAACTCTCTTGGCCCCTTTGTTTATCTAAGTTCTCTCCTCCAGAAATACTGTCTATCCTCCAGGCTTCAATGATCACATTGGAAGAACACCTCCCAAAATATATGTCCAATCTGTGTCTTATTCCCCAGGCCACCTTTTCTGGGAACATCCATCTGGAAAACTGGTATCTTTACTCAGTTTACTTTACTCAGAGGTACCTTTACTCAGAGGAAGATTAAAACTGAGATAATTATCTGCCCCCCTCAAACTTTCTACACTTGCGTTCCCATTTTTTTTTTGTTTTTGTTTTTGAGACAGAGTTTCACTTTGTTACCCAGGCTAGAGTGAGTGCCATGGCGTCAGCCTAGCTCACAGCAACCTCAAACTCCTGGGCTCAAGCGATTCTGCTGCCTCAGCCTCCCGAGTAGCTGGGACTACAGGCAATGACCACCATGCCCGGCTAATTTTTTCTATATATATTAGTTGGCCAATTAATTTCTTTCTGTTTATAGTAGAGACGGGGTCTCGCTCTTGCTCAGGCTGGTTTCGAACTCCTAACCTTGAGCAATCCGCCCGCCTCTGCCTCCCAGAGAGCTAGGATTACAGGTGTGAGCCACCTCGCCCGGCCAGCGTTCCCATTTTTATTAAAGACATTACCAACAAAAGCATTCAGGGTAGGGATCTCTGAGTCATCCCATCTCCACCCTCACTCCTCTCAGTAAAGTTTGTAAATGCCACTCTGGAATGTTTGTGATGTGTGGATTCCTTTCACATCCATTCCCATTATTCTAATCACTTGGCATGTCTTGCCCAAAAACTGTAATTCCTTTAATACTGCTATTTCCCTCCCCCCTTTTTTTCACTCAGCCTGCAGACCCAAAGTTACAAATACTGCTATTCCTGTCTCTAATTTTTACTTCTCCAATTGATTGGCCATGTTGACCTAAAAGAGGAAGGACAATGTGAGAAATGTACTCTATAAAGTAGATTTACTATGGAAGACTCCGTAATAAAGTTGGTAGGGATTGCTCTGTAAACCCTAGAATGAAGAATGATGATCTAGGTCAGCGATTGCCAAACTTGAGCCTGTGTCAGAATCACCTGCAGAGCTTGGGAAAACAAGTGACTGGACCTCATCCTCAGTTTCTGATTCAGTAGGTATGGACAGGACCTGAGAATTTGCATTTCTAATGAGTTCTAAGCCATTCTTATGCTGCTGACCTGTGGACCACACTTAGAGGACCACTGATGTAGGGGAATAGTCAGGAGGAGGAAGATCAGGCTTTGAGCCATTTATTTTCTGGTAAACACTAAGAATACTTAAAGGGTTTTGGGACACTACTTTTTGTGGTGTTTTAGATAGTATTTAATTCCTTTTCTGTTTCCCTGTAACAGTCTCCAAGCCCTTCAAAGCCTTAGATGGACTCCCATTTATTCAACAAACATATGTTGAGAGCTAATTTATATCACCATGGGTTGGCTGACATAACAGCTACAAACAAAATGATATTTTGTGTAGTGTCCTAGACCTACAGAATTTATGAATTTGGAGCTGGATCTTGGAGGTCCACCAGGGCAAACATACTGAGATGTGAAAATCCAAAAAGTGTTTAAGGGGATCTGGGGGGTATTGCCTGTGGGTAGGACAGGACACATCTGGGGACAGAGTTTCAGAGGTGAACTGACCTCCTGAGATAATTTTTTTTTAATATTTTTCTTTTTTCCTTTTTTTAGACAGAGTCTCACTCTGTTTTGTTTTGTTTTGTTTTTTTGAGACAGAGTCTCCCTTTGTTGCCCAGGCTAGAGTGAGTGCCATGGAGTCAGCCTAGCTCACAGCAACCACAAACTCCTGGACTCAAGTGATCCTACTGCCTCAGCCTCCCGAGTAGCTGGGACTACAGGCACGTGCCACCATGCCCGGCTAATTTTTTCTTTCTATATATTTTTAGTTGTCCAGCTAATATCTTTCTATATTTAGTAGAGACGGGGTCTCACTCTTGCTCAGGCTGGTCTTGAACGCCTCATCTCAAACAATCCACCAGCCTCGGCCTCCCAGAGTGCTAGGACTATAGGTGTGAGCCACCGTGCCTGGCCCTGAGATAATTTTTTGAAGCTCTTGTTTTTTTTTAAAAAAAAAAGGTGAGGAAATTGTAACACACCATCACAAAATTATGGTGGCTTTTAAAAGTTTACAACAGCAAGTAAACACTTTTGAACACACACAGAAGGACTCGACATGTCAAAGACAACTCTCTTTGAGAGAATGTCAACTTTTACGTGTGAGGCCTTCCATGAAAGAGAAAGATCTTGTTTCTGTGCCAGTGAAGATCTGAGTTCACTTCCAGGACCAGAAAAGGTAGAGGGTGTCAAAGGATATCCTTCTTCAACAGTGGGCTAGGGGAGAGAAAAACTCACTGCAGAGGAAATCAGTAAATGTCCCTAGAATTCTTTTGGACTTTCCTGGAGATGTCCTGATCTTTCTTATCTGCCTTCACCCTTGTTTTTTCTTCTGCCTGAAAATTCTGCCAGCCAGTTCTTGTGTACTTGATCTCTAACAAACAGCTCAATTGTTCCCTCCTGTGTAATCTGGTCCCGAATTATCCAAATCAGATCCCCCCACCCCACCCCAAGGACAGATTTGAACTCTTTTTTCTCACTACACTTAAGAAATTTCAGTTTTGTCACTCAATGAACAGTTATTATTTTTGCCTTGCAATGTATTAATTGAGTAAACTACTTTAAACAGGTTGGATGTCCAGGACTGTGTTTTAGGGGTCTTTTTCCTTATGTAAGCATATCAATTTTCTTTTAAACTTTTCTGGGAACACTTATGATGACATATTTTAGACTATTTATGTGTCCTTTAAAAATATCTTGTATATCATAGGATCTATAGCAATGAGTTTGGTGCTCAATAAATGTTAATAAAATCTTTAGGCCAGGTGTGGTTGCTCACACCTGTCATCCTAGCATTTTGGGAGGCCGAGGTGGGATTGAGGCCAAGAGTTGAAGACCAGCTTGAGCAAGAGTGAGACCCTATCTCTACAAAAAAATAGAAAAATTAGTGTGTGGTGGTTTGCCCCTATAGTCCCAGCTACCAGAGAGGCTGAGGCCAGGAGGATCGCTGGAGCCCAGAAGGGGGAGGTTGCTGTGGGCTAAGATGATACAACTGCACTCTACCCCCAGAGACAGATTAAGACTCTGTCTCAAAAAAAAAAAAATTTATTTAACAAACTGAGGTCTTCTGTGGACGAGGCACTGTTGTAGAAGGTGGACTATAGCTCCTGTCTTCATAATTCTTGTAGTGGGAAACATACATATATTCACATATTCTTATAAAAGTCAGATTATGATAAGTCTGGAGGAAATACAGAGAAAAAATAAAGCAGGAAGTAGGCTGGTAGGAGGGGAAGGAAGTGATGAGTTATAATTTTAAATGGGGTGAACATGAAAGGCTTCACTGAGAGAGAGACTTGAGCAAACATCTGAAAGAGATATCTGGGGAAAAAGCTCTCCAGGCAGAGGGACAAGCAAGTGCAAAGGCTGTGAGGCCACAGTGGCTGAAACAGGGTGATAAAGGGAAGAGTAGTTGGAAATGAGATGAGAGAAATAAGGCAGAGGTGTGGGAGGGATCACATAGGGCCTTGTCAGTACATTAGCTTTTGTTCCTTTGATGCACGATGCATGCTCTTTGCCTGGTCCCTTCTCCCCTTTGGTGAACACTGAGTCTAATGCCACCAAATCAAGGAAGGCTGCCCTAAATTCCTCTAGAATAGAATTGGTAAAATCCCCTTCAATGAAACTAGGAAAGTACAAATTTATGGATGGCATGAATATAGGGTTTAATGTATTAAGAGAAGGCTGTATCTCTGTGAAAGTCAGTCTCCTGGATTTGAAATAGGAATAGGAAAAGTAGAGACTAAGTGTTCAACCAATTTGATTTGTATGCATGATGGGATCCATCCCCAAAATAACAGAATAATTAGTACACAGTCCTTAAGGCTAATTAGATGATGAGTCTTAATTTTAATCAATGGTGATTAAATTGAGCTTTTATTCACATTCAGCTTGTGAAATCTGAGGGTCCAGAATACAAATCAAGAATGTTGATTTAAAATATTTCTGGCTAGGCATGGTGCCCTGCACCTGTAGTCCCACCTACTCAGGTTGGGCTGAGGCAAGAGGATCGTTTAACGCCTGGAGTTGGAGTCCAGCCTGGGCAACATAGTGAGACCCATCTCTTAAAAAAAAATGTTTTTGCTAATTCATAAAGTTCTATGTACTCTGTAGATTAAGGGAATGGGGGTTGGTTTGGTGTAGTGGGGCATTTTTGTGGACCTGAGGCAGGGGTTTTGAAGCTTTTCTAATTTTGCTTCATGTCATAAGAACAGATATTCCGCAAAAGCCAGGATTTTTGTGTTTCTAGATCTTGGAACAGTGCTTGGCATGGCATAGGCGTAGGGTTCCCAGTACATAAAAATACCAGACGCTCAATTCAATTTGATTTTCCGGTAATCAACAAATACTTGTTAAGTATAACTATGTCCTTTGTAGTATTTGGGACATACATTTTCCACTGTTGCTTATCTGACATTCAAATTTAACTGCGTGTCCTGTATTTTATCTGACAGCCCTACTTAAGGAGCTCAATAAATGTTTGACTTAATTGATTGAAGGTCTTCTTTCACCTGTAAAATGGGGCTAGTAATTGTCCCCGCCTGCATAGGGTTCATGGGCTGAGTAAAAGAAGCGTCTGGCACTCAGCGAGCCCTCAATTTACAGGATTGCTCGGGGACCACCCAGCGACCCGAAAGCCTCCCACTTCCAAACACACAAGTGATAAGAGGGCCTCCCCCAGACTACAGGTTCCCAGGCCAGGCATAGGTTGTCCGCACCTGTGAGCCCGGCCAGCCTCTTCCGGGTCAGGTGACCACGCGTGGTCACGTGACCCCGGCCCGAGTGCGGGCGGTGGAAGGCGGAAGTGGGAGAGGAGTTGGGCGCCGCTTCTGTGGCCGCAGCAGGTAGCGGGCGCCCGCGCGGGGGGCGCGGCGGCGGGCGGGCGGCGCGAGGCGGGCCGGGGGCGGCGCGGCCCGGGCGCCGGGGGGCGGCGGCTTCCTGTGGGAGGGGCCTGGCGCGGCGGTTCCGGCCTCCGAGGAGGGGTGTCCCGGCTCCCGCCCGAGCTGGGTGGGCGCGCCGCGGGGCCGAGCGGGGGCCGCTCCGAAGTGGGCGCCCTGGCATCCTCGGGTGCAACGGGAGCGAGTCCTTCCGGAAGGAGAGAGGAGCTTAGGTGCCCAGGGATGGAGGAGTGTAATCTTTGTGGAGGGATCGGGACCTGAGGAGGGGGCGACTTGAGACCGAGCTGGAAGGGGGTGCCTGAGACTGGGCATATGGCTTGGGAGAAAGGGAGAACTCAGGAAGAAGATGCTACCTGAACCGCGTCTGAGAGTCCCTTCCTTCCTTCCTTCCTCTTTTGAAATGATTGCTACCCGAGACTCTGATTTCGGTCCCATTCAGTTTTTAAACTTCAGGAGGGATCAGGGAATCTTGATCGTCTTGCTTTCGTCGCACCCACTTAGTCCTGCTTGGGTAGGGTTGCCACTTCTTGGGAACTTAGCCCTTCAGATCATCTTTCTTTGAGATTCCTTTCCCTGATCAGGTCATCCTCAAGACTTAAAAAAAATAAATGTGGGCACTTTGTTTTGCCTGCAAAATAGCTTTTTAGCCTGAACTATTGACCGCAACGTAGCCCAGCATTACCTCAGCAACATAGTGACTGCTGAAATCTTGGACAGAGGAGTGTCTACTTACACTGCTTTATGACTTTTCCTCTTTCTTCGTTTTAAATTATTCAGCATCCCTTAGCATGTGACTCTTTATCTTGACAAACTGTAACTAGTTAGGGTGACTGAGAGGTCTGTGTTGTGTTCCTTAGCACTGTGACCTGGTTCATGATTTGGAGATTGAATACTTGTTAAATACTTGTTACAGCTGTTCATCCTCCTTTTCTTTTAATGTTTACTAAAATTTGCAGAAGTGAAACGAGTTTCAAGAATGCAGTATAACTGGAATGAATGTTCAAACGGGACATTCTCAGGAGCCAGAGTTGTCTTGGGTTACAAGAAGGGGGACAAAAAAAGTACTTTGTTAATATATTATGAGTTCAAGTTCTTGTAGTATTTGGCAAACAATTTAAAAGTTAATTTTTGTAGCAGCCCTGTGAGTTAGGTGGGGAAGGTATTATTCCCATTTCACAAGGAACAAACAGACTTAAGAGAGATGACTTGATTTTTTAAAACAATTTATTGCTCTTTCTTGTTTACTGGTCTCTTTCTTCCTGCTAGACTGCAGATCCTTCAAAGGCAGGTTTCATGTTTTATTTGGATACTAGCCTAGTGCCTGGCAGGTTGTGGGCACTTGATAAATGTTTGGTGAATAAATGAATTTCTTTCTTTTTTTTTTTTTTTTTCTGTCTAAAGGGAGTTGATACAGTTGTGTAGAATAAATGAATTTCTAAAGGTCACACAACTGTAAGTGGCAAACAAGGAGTTTGAACCCAGATCTTCTATCCTCTCTTTTTTCTTACAAGCTTGCCATTTTAAGTTATTGGTCTATATGAAAATGATAGGAATAAGAGAAAGGCTTGGATTGACTTCTCAGTCTTTCCCTTAATTATTTTTTTCCCATTTATAAAGAACTTATGCCAACATCTCATTTAATCTCTTTTTCCCCCTGAACCTCAAATTCATCTGTAATCATTAAATCTTCTCTATGATCTTGTGAAGATTAGTATTGTCCTTGTTCCACAGATGGAGAAATTGAGGTCTGGTGAAGTCTTTACTTTAGATTCCAGGCTAGGCATGGTGGCTCATGCCTGTAATCCTAGCACTCTGGGAGGCCGAGGCAGGAGGATCGTTTGAGCTCAGGAGTTTGAGACTAACCTGAGCAAGAGCAAGACTCTGTCTCTACTAAAAAAAATAGAAATAAATTAGCTGGACAACTAAAAAAAAAATTAGCTGAGCATGGTGGTGCATGCCGGTGTCCCAGCTACTTGGGAGGCTTGAGGCAGGAGGATCGCTTGAGCCGCAGGAGTTTTTGAAGGTTGCTGTGAGCTAGGCTGACGCCACGGCACTCTACCAGGCATTGGAGTGAGACTCTGTGTCAAAAAAAAAACCAACAAAAACCACATACACGCACAAAATTCCAGAACTAGTAAATGACTGAGCAGGGACTCAAGTCCAGGCCTTTTTTTTTTTTTGAGACAGAGTCTCACTCTGTTGCCCAGGCTAGAGTGAGTGCCGGGGCATCAACCTAGCTCACAGCAACCTCAAACTCCTGGGCTCAAGCGGATCCACTGCTTCAGCCTCCCGCGTAGCTGGGATACAGCATGCACCAACCATGCCGCTAATTTTTCTATATATTTTTAGTTGCCAATTAATTTCTTTCTATTTATAGTAGAGACGAGTCTCGCTCTTGGTCAGGCTGGTTTCGAACTCCTGACCTTGAGCAATCCACCCTCCTCCCTCCTCGGCCTCCCAGAGAGCTAGGATTACAGGCGTGAGCCACCACGCCCGCCGGCAAGTCCAGGCCTTTAATCCCTAGACCTGTTCGTTTTCTTTTATAAAAGTGATAGAAAGGTTTATGTGTAAATATTTTTTCAAGTATATAGAGTATGACATTTGGAGGAAAATGTAGTTTAGCTTACAGAAAAAAATTGTGACTAGAGAATGTAAGTAACTGAAGTTTAGAAAAACCTGTAGTATTTCATAGCTGCCACTTCCTGGGTAAACATTCTGTTAATTCAATGAATATTTATAAGGACCTACTTTTTACCAGGTGTTGTAGAGTTGCACTGTGCTGTATGGTGTCCCCTAGAAACACTATGCTGTGAGCACAAGATACATTCCGGATTTTGGACACTTAATGTGAAAAAAAATGTAAAATGTCTCATTGATACTTTTTATATTATAGTAAGTGATTACATAAATATGGTATATGTATGCTACAAATGATAACATTTTGGATTTATCAGGTTAAATACAATATAATTAAAATTAGTTTTACCTTTTTCTTTTTATATTTTAATATGTGTTTCCTAGAAAATTAAAAAATTTTGTATGTGGTTTGTATTTGTGGCTTTTGTTTCCTTTCTACTGGACAGAGCTGTCTAAATGCCGGAGGTATGTTAATAGAGGTACATAAGAAAGGCAAAAATCCCTGCCCCTTGTGGATCTTAAATTTTAGTGGGGAAAGGCACAATAATAACTAAGTAAAACCCATGTTGTAATAAAGCAAGGAAGTTGGATGTGGGGTGGTGGGTGGGGGTGTAGTTTTAAATAGGATCCTTAGAAAAGCCTCCCTTGGAAGGTGATAGTTAAGATCTGAAGGAGGGGAGGGAGAGGACCATGTGGCTGAAGGGGGTGGGGAAAGGGGTCCAGGCAGGGGATATAGCAAGTCCAAAAGCTCTGAAGAAGGAGCAGTCCTGGTGGGTTTGGGGACCAGCCAGGAGGCCAGTGTGACAGGAGGGGAGTGAGCGAGCAGGGAGTGGAGAGGAGGAGGTCAGAGTGGTGCTGTGTGTGGGAGGGAGATGGGCAGGTTGTCGAAGGCCTCTCGTAGGCCATTGTCATGGTGCTGGTTTACACTTGGGATGAGTTGGAGGCCATTAGAGGGTTTTTTTTGTTTTTGTTTTTTGCGACAGAGTCTTGCTTTGTTGCCCAGGCTAGAGTGACTGCCATGGCGTCAGTCTAGCTCACAGCAACCTCAAACTCCTGGGCTCAAGCAATCCTTCTGCCTGAGCCTCCCGAGTAGCTGGGACTACAGGCATGTGCCACCATGACTGGCTAATTTTTTCTATATGTATTAGTTGGCCAATTAATTTCTTTCTATTTATAGTAGAGACGGGGTCTCACTCTTGCTCAGGCTGGTTTTGAACTCCTGACCTCAAGCAATCCGCCCGCCTCAGCCTCCCAGAGTACTAGGATTACAGGCGTGAGCCACCGTGCCTGGCCCATTAGAGGGTTTTGAGCAGTGGAGGGGACACGATCCAACCTGCATTTTAACAGACTCACTCTGGTGGCTCTGTGGAGGGGAATAGGGGTGGCCAGGATGGAAGCAGGGAGATACGTTATGGCTGTTGCCATATTCCAGGTGAGACATGCATCCTGGGTCTATTTTGAAGTCCAGTCAGCAGGATTTTTGGATGAGTTGCATTGGATGTGGGGTGTGAGAGGAAAAAAGGAGTCAAGGGTGACTCCATGGTCTTTGGCATGAACAACTGGAAGAATGGAGTTGTCATTAACTGAGAGGGGGAAGGCTGTAGGAACAGCGGGATTGGGGCTCAATTTTGTTACACCTAATAGGAATCCAAGGGGAGACTTTGTGAGCAATTAGATCTGGAAGTCTGGAGACAAGCCTAGGCTGGAGACATACGTGTGCAAGCTGTTAGCATGTGCATAGTGTTTAGAATTAAGAGAGTGAACGAGTTCACCACAGGAGTAGTGTGGATACACATCTAACGAGAGTGCTCCTTGCTAGAAATTCAGTTTTGAAATAAATCTCAGTGTATATTATAAGAGGTGAAGTAGAACAAAGCATTGTAGTGTGTCTCTGGGAACTTGGTTTTCTCTCCTTTTCACTTTTCGTTTAAAGACCCTTTTGAAAACCACAAGCTAATGGTTTTCTTCTTTCTTCAGGAGGCTGCTCTTCCAACCCTGCATCTTTGTAGTGCTGCCGCCGAAATCAATCTGAGGGCCAATTTCTAGAATTAGTCTGGCTTTCTGGGTTGGCAACCAATTTAGAGACCTCCGGGAAGGATGGATAATGGGTTTTTAATGTTGAAAATATGTATTGGTTTTACAAAGCACATACTGAATGCATGTTGTCAGGTATGCCACCATTTTAGAGATTGAAAACAAACGACTTCATTGAGGTGAAGTGACCCTGAGGAGGTCATGTAGCTAAGAAATGAAAGAGCTGGGATTTGTGTCTTGGTCTCTGAGTCTAGATCTGGTTCTTCTGCCACCTG